TCTTCTTTTTGAGGGCAGGGAGTCTGTTGGATCTTGTTCAAGGTTATTTCTACCTGCACAATATCATTCTTATCACGTAGCTTTGCTACCAAATTATTGTATCATGTAAGGCATATGGGCTAATTATCATATCTTCTATCGTAGTCGGTTGACCTACAAAGTATATATCTTATATCATCGTAGTTATTGCTAGGACAATTTCATCTCTTGATCACGTAGCTCATTGCTATCAAAGATCTATCATTATTGTTCCATCGTTAGCTCATTGGTACCAACGTTTAGCATATTTTCCCGTTAGTCATTTTTAGACATTTATATCGTTATCACGTAGCGGGTATTGTTCAACTTTTATCTTTCACGCTGTCATTGTTACACAACCTTATCATATCTTAGCACGTAGTATTGTTACCACACGTTTCATTCTCTATCACCGCTAGCTCATTGTTAACAACAGTTATCATATCTTGTACGTAGCTCTTGGTTACACAACTTTGATATCTTATACGTGCTCATTGTTACACAACGTTTCTACTTTATACCGTAGTCATTGAACCGAACGTTTCAGAGGTTAATCACGTAGTCATTTCACAAAACGTTGTTAATCACCGTAGCTATGTTACACACGTTATCGAGTTAATCATGTAGTCATTGCTAAAGTTGTTATCCGTAGTCGATTGTTACACAAAGCGTATCAGGTTAATATCGTAGTCATTGCTCACACGTTATGCAGAGGTTAATCACGTGGCTCTTGCTACCACAACGTTAGTTAGTCACCGTAGCCTCGTGTACACAACGTTATCAGATGTTAATTCACGTAGCTCATTGTTACACACGTTATAGACGCTTATCTACGTCAGCTCGGGTTGCTAACAACGTTTCAGGAGTAATCACCGAGCTCTCTCGCTAACAACGTTTTCGAGTAGAACGTAGCTCATGTGTTAAACAACGTTTCAGGTTAATCCCGTAGCTACATGTCCGTTAGGTTAGGATACCGATAGCTCATTGCTCACAACGTATCAGAGTTAATCACGTGCTCATTGCCTAACAACGTTTATCAGCGAGGTTAAATCACCGTAGTCATTGTGTAAAAGTTAGCAGAGTTAATCAACGTATGATCTTGTTACACAAGTTATCGAGATTTAATTCACCGTGCTCATTGCTACACCGTTTCAGAGTTAATACCGTAGCTCATTGTTAAACAAGTTAGTCAGAGTTAATACGTAGCTCTTGTACACATTTATCAGGTTTCACGTAGTCATTGCTACACAACTTTATCAGGTTAATCAGTAGCTCATTCTACACACTTTTCAGAGTTAATCACCGTAGATCATTGTAACAACGTTGTTAACCGTAGCCTCATTGTTCACACTGTTTGAGGTTAATCACGTAGCTTATTGCTACACAACGTTAGTTAATCACCGTAGCTCATTGCTACACAACGTTAGTTAATCACCGTAGCTCATTGCTACACAACGTTAGTTAATCACCATAGCTCATTGTTACACAACGTTATCAGAGTTAATCACCGTAGCTTATTGCTACACAACGTTAGTTAATCATCGTAGCTCATTGTTACAACGCACTCGTGGTAGCTAATCATCATGGATTGTCTCATCATTGCTTCTACTGTCATCACCATTCATTGCCACAGTTTGTTTCCATGTCGTACTATCAGGAGTGTCTAATCATAGATTGTTATTATTCGTATATTATTATACACTCCTGGTACTATCATGGTACATTTCCTCAGCCTGTCAGTCTTTCATCTCTTCACATTACTGTCTGAAACTATAAAGATTGCTTTTATTAACGAAGATGGTAAGGTAATACATTATATCTCGCTTTCATTGCATGAAATTCAGTTTAGTTTGCATGAGATTTGCACCTTGCTTCTCTGATGGTAACTCCACCGATTATGTCAGCAAACTGTGGATCTCAAGCATTATATCAGATGCTGTTATTTATACACACACAAGCATTATTAGCTTACATTTTAATTAGCAAAGTGACCATGATTACTTGGTAATTCCAAAAAAGTTATTGGCCAACAGCAACAGTGAGAAATCATGTGCGACCACTGATGTTAGTTTCGTGACGATTTTTGCAGGTGTACAAGGTCGCAGTGACAAGTGACGGTTGTGCCTATTTTATATTTCGGAGATATGCAGAGTTCAGCAAACTAAATGAAATGGTAAGCCAATAGACACGATTTCCCACCTGACTCCAACCAGGGGCGCGTTTCACTAACGTTCGTTTGCTATTTTTCCTTTGCTATTTTCAAGGTTGATCGGTAAATAGCGAAGAACACGTTCGCGCGTGTTTCACAAAGCTCCGTTCGCTAAAGTTATTCGTTATTTAGCGAACAACTTTACCGACACCTCTGCAGGGTCTCGGTAAATTTAGCAAAGGACTTGCGGTGTATTTAAACCTTATAAAAACATAATGTAGCGCAGTGTGAGCATTGACAGATGTGACACACGCGTTAGCACGTAGCAAGCTCCGAGAATATAGCACACATGCACAACCGTTTGATGCCTACAATGATACAGAAATTATATGTGATTGGCATATGACAGAGCGTAACTTAGCAACAACTGCGCCACGTGTTTGTAGTTGCCGCCAGCTGACGCCTCAGACGGCAAGTTGTTCGCTAAATAGCGAGAGCATAGCGAAGCGTTAGTGAAACGCGTTGTTCGGTAAAGTTGATCGGTAAAGTTATTCGGTAAGTTGTTCGGTATGCCTTCGTTTGCTATTTAGCGACACGCTATCTTACTTCATTCTAGGAATCATGGCTCATTGTAATTGCTGCATTGTCAGAGTCATATTTCATTGTTGAAGCTCCTAGCTCATCTCAGATCATTCTCAGCTAATCATCATAGATTATTTCTACACAACTTTATCATAGTTAATCACCGTAGCTCATTGTTACACAACGTCCGGGTGCGAAATTAACGCGAGTCCGGATTCAAATACTCCCTGATTTACTGTCGGACTCCCTGATTTGACATATGCAGGAGTACATGTGACTCCCTGAAAATTCTGCTATACTAACTAGTTCGTTCCAGAGCACAGCCTCCTTATTATTCCCATGCAAAATTACCGTATTTTCTCAGCAAATGTCCAAAGAAAATTTTGCACACGTGCAACAGCATGAATCTTCAAAATAAGCACATGCGTTTTTTAGTTTTGAACTTCAGACTGCGGACTCCCTCATTTTGTTGCAGACTCCCTCTTTTTGAGGGCAGGGAGTCTGTTGGACTCCCTTGTTCAAAGGTTAATTTCTACCCCTGCAACGTTAGCATATCTTATCACCGTAGCTCATTGTTACACAACGTTATCATATCTTATCACCGTAGCTCATTGTTACACAA